TAAGTGAAATAAATAGGATACACGTGTAAATATCGAATAATTTCTCTAGTGTGAGAAACTGAAAGTGTAAATAAGGACTAAAAGGTATAATAGGTAATGTGAAATAGGAAGAAAAGGGGCAAAGGGGAAGGAGAAGTGGGAGGGGTAGCGGAAAGGAAAGAAGGGAATGGAATTAATATGAGAAAATGAGAAAAAGGAAACAAAGTCTTTGTAAATAGGGAAAGACGGAGGGGTGGAAGGGAGGGCAGCGGAAGGGGGAAAAAATAAGAACCAAGAGAGTATGTAAAGGTGCATATCTCCAGTGATGAATGTCATTATATTGTACGCCTATAATGTACCAATAAAAGGATATACTATAAAAAAGAAAGAAGTTCTGCTTGATTGTACCCAAACATATATTAAAGACAAGATCGTGTTGCTTTTGGTATCACAGCATTTGTGTGAGATTTCCTATGCATAGAAGACCTTCATCACTGATTCTACCACCCTGGAAGGTCCTCGGTGGCCATACATTTGGCTCAGTGAACTAAGGAATTGGAGAGGCCCTCACTGTGACCATCTGTCTTGGTCTGGAGCTGGTGAAAGAAAATCCCCAGAGGTGAGTGCTTTTTTCAACAGGCACTACAGTGATTAACTGGCATCAGATTCTCTGTCTTAGGAAATCCTGGTCAGAGACGGAAACCAGCTGACCAAGAGAATAGGCATGAAGCAGAGGCAGCAGAAGCCAGGAGGTAGGGAGCAATCATAGGAGCAATGATAGAGAGTAATCCTTTCACCATAACATGAACCACTCAAGTAGGGCCAAGAACTAGTCATTTCAGGAGCATCTTGAGTTATGCCAACATCTAAGAGTCGATAAGGTATCCCCCAAGCTGTTGGGGAAATAGGCAAGAAATTCACGAATCAGTCTTGTTTTGGGCCTCTAAGAAAAGCTGGCAAATTATTTTATTTGCAGACAATGTGAACTTTAAGCCAAGACTGACCAAGAAAGACAAAGAAGATCACTACCTATTGGCCAAAGGAAAACTACAAGAAGAGATAACTATCATATATATATATATATATATATATATACACACACACACACATACATATACCAAATACTGATGCACCCAAATATATAAAAAAAATATTAATGGACATGAAAAATCTAATAAGCACTAACACAATTGTAATGAGGGACCTTAATAACCCACTGGCACAAATAGACAGATCAACCAGATAAAAAATCAACAAATAAATATCAGAATTGAACCAAACCTGTAAACAAATGGATATAGTAGATGTCTCAGTGTATTCCACCCCACAACCTCATAAACACATTCTTTTCAGCTGCACATGGTATGTTCTGCAAAATAGACCACATACTGGCCCACAGAACATGCTTAAGTAAACGCAAAGAATTGAAATTCTCTCATGCATATTACCAGACCATAGAGCAATGAAATTGGAAATCAATGGCAAAAGAAACCACAAAAACACATGGAAATTAAATAACACCCTCCTGAACAACCAATAGGTCACAGATGAAATTAAACAGTATCTACAATGAAATGATAATGCTGATACAACATACCAGAACTTAAGGGACACAATGAAAGCAGTCCTAAAAGGAAAATTTATAGCAGTGAATTCTCACATCAGGAAAACAGAATGAGGTCAAATACACAATCTAATGTTGAACTTCAAATGTCTAGAAAAAGAAGAATATGTCAAGCCCAAAGGTCATACAAGGGAGGAAATTATAAGATTAGAGCAGAAATTAATGCAGTGGAGACTAAGAAAACTGTACAAAGAAAACTCATAGCCAACCTTATCAAAAAAAAAAAAAAAAGACTCAAATTCATGCAATTAGGAATGAAAAGGGTGAAATCACAACAGATCCTGTAGAAATCCAGAAGATCATCAATACCTACTTTGAGAACCTATATTCTTTTTTGGGGGGTGGGGCAGATACCGGGTATCAATCTCTGGTCCTTGCGCTTGTGAGGCAGGCGGTGAAACCACTGAGCTAAATCCCCAGCCCTGAACCTATATTCTAATAAGATAGAAAACACAAAAGAAATAGATTTCTACACACAGATCAGTCACCAAAGCTTTATCAAGAAGATATAAAGATTCTAAATAACCCAATATCAGTCAATGAAATTAAAAATGTAACTAAAATCTTACCAACAAAGAAAAGCCCAGGTCCTGACAGTTTCACTATTGAATTCTATAAGAAACTTAGAGAAGATCTAATGCCGCTACTCCTCAAACTCTTTAATGAAATTGAAAATGAAGCAATATTTCCAAAATCATTCCTGGAAGCAAGTATTATTATCCTGATACCATAACCAAAGAAGGATCTATCCAAAAAAGAGAACTACAGGCCAATCTCCCTAATAAACACAGATGCAAAAATCCTCAATAAGATACTGGCAAATGGAATGCAGCAAATCATCAAGAAAATGATACACCATGACCAAGGAAAATTCATCCCAGGCCTGTAGGGATGGTTCAACATACACAAATCAATAAATCTAATACACCATATCAATATAGCCAGAGACAAAAATCACATAATCATCTCAGTAGACCCACAAAAAGTATTTGACAAAGTCCAACAACTATTCATGATAAAAACCCTGCAGAAAATTGGAATAGATGGTTTATATCTCAATCTTATAAAAACCATCTATGAGAAACCAACAGCCAACATAATACTAAATGGTTATAAACTAAAACCTTTCACTCTAAAATCAGAAACAAGCATGTCCACTATCACCACTCCTGTTCAATACAATTCAGGAAACATTAGCCAGAGCAATTAGGCAAGAGAAAGAAATAAAAGGAATAAAGATAGGAAAGGAAAAGTTAAATTATCATTATTTGTGGATGACATCATACTCTATAGAAGATCATAAAAACTACACCAAAAGGCTTCTAGATTTAAAAATCAAATTCAGTAGTATAGCTGGATACAAAAATCAATATCAGGGCTGAGGATTTAGCTCAGTGGTTTCACCGCCTGCTGCACAAGTGCAAGGACCCAAGTTCGATCCCTGGTACCAAAAAAAAAGTCAGTATCATTCCTATACACAAATAACAAACTCATAGAGAGAGAGAAATTAGGGAAGCAACACTTTTCACAATAGCATCCAAAAAAATGAAATACTTAGGAATCAATCTAATGAAGGAAGTAAAAGTTCTTTATACTGAAAATTACAATACTCTAAAAAAAGAGTACTGTAAGTCAGAAAATGGGACGATATCCCTTGCTCTTTGGGTAGGAAGAATCAACATAGTGAAAATGGCCTTACTCCCAAAACTGGTATATCGATGTAATGCAATCTCAATCAAAATACCATTAGCAAACCTCACAGACCTAGAGAAAACATTCTTAAATTCATTTGGAACCAGAAAAGACCCAAAATAGCAAAAACAATTCTGTGCAACAAAGGCAAGGCAGGGGCCCTCACAACCCCTGACTTGAAATTATACTACAGAGCTACTGTGATTAAAAATGAATGGTGCTGTCCAAAAAAAAAAAAAAAAAACCATACCTGAGGGTCAACAGAACAGATTAGAAGATGCAGAAACAACCCCAAACACACTCAGCTGCCTTATCTTTGACAAAGGGCCCAAACACGTTCAATGGAGAAAAGATAGCCTCTTTAATAAATAGTGCTTGAAAAACTGATTTTCCACATGCTGAAGACTAAAACTAGATCTATGTCTCTCACCATGCACTGAACTAAAATCAAAATAGATCAAAGATCTAAATATTAAACAAAAACACTAAATCTGCTGGGAGGAAAACAGGTAGAACTCTTGAAGACAATGGTGTAGGCAAAGACTCCATAAACAAAATCCCAATCACGGGAAATACTAAAAAGAATCAACAACTGGGGTCTCGTCTTATTAAAAAGCTTTTGCACAGCAAAAGAAATCACCAACAGAGTGAAAAGACCACCCACAGAGTGGGAAAAAATGTTAGCCAGGGTTCCTCAGACAAAGGACTAATATCTAGAACATAAAAAGAATTGAAAAAAATCAGGATCCCCCCTCCTCAATTTAAAGACCCAATCCAAAAATGGGCATCAGAGATAAATATGCACTTCTCAGATGAAGAAGTAGAAATGGCAAATGAATATATGAAAAATGTTCAACATCCCTGGTCATTCAAGAGATGCAAATTAAAACAATGCTGAGATTCCACCTCACTCCAGAAAGAATGGCTGTTATGAAGAAATCAACCAATAACAAATGCTGGCAGGGCTATGGGGAAAAAGAAATCCTTCTCCACTGTTTGTGGGAGTGCAGACTGGTGCAACCACTGTGGAAATCAATATGGAGATACCTCAAAGAGCTAGGACTAGAGGTCCCATTTGACCCAGCTAGTCCCCCTCTCAGTATCTTCCCAAAAGAATTAAAAGCATCATACCACAGCAATATATGGACACACATGTTTATCTCAGCACAGTTTGTAATAGCTAAATCTTTGAAACAGCTCAAATGTCCATCAAGAGATGAATGGATAAAGAAGATGTGCTTTTTTATACAATGGAGTACTACTCAGCCATAAAGAAGGAAAAATAAGACATTTCTAGGTAAATGGATGCACCTTGAGACCATGCATTTAAGTGAAATAAATCAGACACACATGTATAAATATTGCATTGTCTCTCTGGTGTGAGAAACTGAAAGTGTAAATAAGAACCAGAATGTATAATGAATATTTTAAAATATGAAGAAATTGTTCAAAAGGAAACTCCCAATATAAGTGTATCCTAATTCCCATGGCACACATTCTTTTGAGTTTGGCACAGTTAGATGACATTTATGGTACCCTATGACTCTATTTCCTTAACACTTTTCTCTACTGGAACTATCAAGAAAGAATCAGTTATGCAGTGGGTCCTGATGTCATAAAGCGGAACTTCCTCTGTCACAAATGATTAACTACAGCTCTGGCCTTTTCTTATAGCATGTGATAAGTTAATGGCATTGGTAGAAACACAGTCACAAACAAAATCCACTGCCAACTCTGGATTTTAACAATATCAAATAGCAGTTTCTGCCATGATGGAAATGACCATGGTGGCCACTAATAACATGGGCCTATTGCATACTTGAAAGGTAACTGAGATAAAAAATTATTAATTATTCAATATTAGTATTTATCATTTCACATTTAAGTAGTCACATGCATCATAATAGTTATCGTTTTGGACCTCGCTGTTCTGAAACTTCATAATAGTACTTGGTTATAAGGAAGCCATTTGAAAAAAACAAAGGAAGCCATTTGTATCATCATATATAAATCCATCAGAAACCAATGTAATGTGTGTATGTATATACCAAAAACTTTCAAATATGTGGTGAGAAACTTCAAAGTATTCATAATCTCTGGATTTGAGGAATACTACCCTATGGTACTATGTGTTGTTTCCACTGGGAAGATTTATTTAGTTCCAAGCTTGAATATTAAGATCCCTACTACCTCAGTACAGACCTGATAGTGGGTTAAAAGTAGGGAATCTAGGAATAACAATAATTCCATATTCTGAAAATATCAGCCTGTGCCAACATTTTAGTGTTGGATTTTAAGAGACATTTGAAGCGCCAGGGATTTAGCTCAGTGGTGCCAAACCTGCCTGGCAAGGGCAAGGTCCTGATTCCCGGTACCGAGGGGAAAAAAAAGAGACATCTGAAAGAACTGAAGCTCACCTACCAGAAGGATAAAAGGAAATTAAATTATGCCACATCAGAACAGTTTAAAGAACTAAATATGTTTGATTTGGAGAAGAAAGAAAAAAAGCCATGGTCGCTGTGGTCAAATAATTGGAAGTCAATGTTATGTGAAAGAAGGATTATAGTTATTTCAATTAGCTTTAATTTAGGGAAAGAAGAGCTCAGGCACAAGAAAAAATGAGATAAATTATAATTAATATAAGAAAGAAGTGTATGAATTGCACCTTAAAATAGACTCTTCTAGGGTTTATGTTGTCTAAGGGAATAAAGAAACAGTACATTGGTGATAGGATCAGTGACAAGCTTTTCACCCATTTCTTCCCAACCTCACATAATTTCTTGAAAAAAGATATATTATTTAAAAGGACAAAGGGAACAAAAAGAGAGATTAAATATGTTAATAAAATTTTGGAAGCCAGAAAGTGGTTGAAGTAGACTGAGAACAGCAGAGAGAGAAGTCCTCAGCCTGAGGTCTATTTATTCCATAGAATTTCAGAAAGGAACAGGAATTTGAATTGTGGAGATCACAGAAGGTGATAATGTAGAAAAGAGCCAAAGATGGGAGACTACTAGTCTACATAAGGGGGACAGAACACCAACCTTTAACCCAGTACCTTTTCTGGAGGTAATGATAGAGTGCAAAAGGCCTAAAAATACACTTACATTATGCTATTTTCTATCTTGGTTCTGTTTCTTTGTGAATAAAGTACACTGCACCTAATTCCAAGTCTAGTTGAAGAAAGTTTTTCCAAATCAATGAAGAACCACTCTAAAACCAGAAACCACCAATAACAAAATATTTCAATTACAGGATGTGAGGTCAATACATTTTTGTTTCCTTAGAGACCCCGTACCCTCTTAAAATAGCCCATTCTATTCTCAGGTAAATGTAACTGATAACTTTTTAAAAATAAGTCAGCCATGTTGTACCTTCTTGTAATTTTACCTGCTAGTCTTTATAATATTATTAGTTAACCCTAAATATTTGAGAAATAACATCAAGTTTTCTCTTGTCTTTCCAACACCAAGCTCAAGCTCAAGTTCCTCATATAATGTGGGTTTTGGACCCTCTAAATATCTAGAATTTATCAGTTTTCTTCCTGAGAGGTGTTGCTCAAAATGGAACCAATGTTTTCCAGATAGATGATGTGACTGGTGCAGACTCAGTGACACAATCAGCTCCTCTTAGGATCCTCTGTCCTTTTGCTGTAGTGACCTAAAATATTGCCCTTGTATCAGAATGTCATCGTAACAATGGTTAATATTGAGTTTACTGAAAATGAAAACCTTCAGATTTTTTTCTGCACAGTTTCTTATGCTGCACTAATGAAATTGACTTTTTAAAGATAATTCAGGTGTTTCATTTGACAATCATTTCTTTTAAAGTTTTATCTTAGTATTTTAGTCAATGGAATCTCACAAATTCTAGTTTGTCATATAATGTCCAGCTTTCTTTGGATTTCTGAGCTTTCTGAGATCTATTTCTTTAAGACTAGGATATGTTGCTATGATGAACATCACCACCCTCCTTTTTAGCTAAGAGGACTCAGGTGACAGTAAGAATAGCCATTGTTCTTATCCCTTGCCAGACTTCTTAGATGGAAGACTTGCTCAGGCTCTCTTCTTGAAGATTCTCCTCCAAAAGTGTCAAGCAAGCAATACTCAGTGGATTGACTCAACTGGATCATTCATTTTGTCTGTTTTTGGATGCTGAAGTTGGGATACAGGTCATTTATCTTGGTTAGGTCCCAGAGCTGAGAAGATATTTAGAGTTGCTATGGCACTTGTTCTAGCATGCCCCTGGGTGAAATCAGGCACATTCAGGGTGATATGGTTGTAGACTCTAGTGTGCCCTTGGAGAAAAAGACTAGTTCATAAAAGAAGAAACAAATGATGTGGTTAGGCCGACAGCAGAGAGAAACCATGCAAGTCTTAAGAGAACTGGACAAGCAAGATGCTGCCCTAGTTTCTGAGTGATCTACTGTCTTGATTCCAGTTTCTTAATGAGGCTTAACTTTTGTTTATGTAAAAGTTTGTGTGATTTTATGCTACTTGTCATCAATATTCATATTCTAAGGTTCTCACCACTATTTGACTTTCTCCTTTGTTAAACTGGAAACTTCATGAGGACATCAGTATTGTTTGTTACTCATTTTATTGTAATGGCTCTGATAACAGTATCACACGCTCTCAGATGTAAAAGCAAGTGATACATAGAAACACAAGTATGTCAATAAGTTAGGTACTTGTTATGCAGGAAATTTGTTCAAAAATGCAAAAGTAATCATAATACATCAAGTAGACCCACTATGAATATCAACTGTCAAAAACTACATAAAAAATTAATCAAACTGAGAGCTATAATCTAATTAAGAGAAGAGAGAGAGTAGAAGGTGTCTCTATAGGGATGTAGGTAAAATAAACTCACTTTGCTTAACAAGAAGCTAAAGGATAATTTCAAAATATGAAAAGGAAGAAAGAGCAGTATACAAAACTATTTATGATATATTAAGAAGAAATACCTAAAGAGCTTAAAATATGTGTATCTATTTCTTTGAATGCACACATCTAACATAGATACATCCATTTGGACATATGATGTGTGATCAAAATAGTGTTTAAATTTTTTTAAATTATTACAGTAAAAGACATACTGCAGTTGATCCCTCTCAAAATACTTCCTTCACTTTTAACACAGTTATCATTCTTGGAACTTTACAAAACAATTCAGAAAACGCTCTTTGTTATCTCTTTACAAGGTGTGATAAAAATACAGTGAATGTAGCTGCCAAGTACCACCTAATGAAAGCAGGCTCATAAAACATTATGGCACGTCCTCCACTTTATTTGCCAGATCTGGTGCCGTGTGACTTCTGACTCTTTCCCAACCTCAAAATGACCATGAAAAATAAACATTTTGCATTATACAGGATATCAAGGTAGCAATGACAGCACAATAAAGACACCCATGAAAGAGAACTTCTGGAACCACTTCAGAAAGTGACAAGAACAATGGGATAAGTGTGTTTGAAGAGAGGAGGAGTATCTTGAGGGTGATTAATAGTGATGTGCCTTTTATTGCAATAAATCTTTAAACTTTAAGCATTCGTTGTATTTTAATGATCTCTCATATATAGATAGAAATAGATTACATAGATTGATAGACTAGTTGACTAATTAATAGACAAAAGACAAAGAGAGACAAATAGGATGGATGGATGGATGGACAACTGACAGATACATAGATACAGTTCCCAATTTATAATTTCTTTTTCCTTTACAAGGGCACAAAAGCAATAAACATTCACTAGAGACCATACTTTGGATTTTGATCTTCCCTGAGCTACAGATACTCTCATGATGCTGGGCGGCAGCAGCAAGCCACAGCTCCCAGTCAACACACAATCATGAGGATGAACAACTGATACTCTACAGTATGTTGTGTTGTTGAGCTCTGACATTTTGTATGTTAAATGCATTTTCAACTATGATAGTTTCAACTTACAATAGGTTTGTGAGACTTAACCCCAAAATGTGTCAAAGAGCCTCGATATGTGGATGGATGGATAGATAGATAGATAGATAGATAGATAGATAGATAGATAGATAGATAGACTGACAGACTAGACAGACTCCTTGGAAGATTAGAAGTTCTTTGGAGCTGAATCTAAACAAGCACTGATCTATAACATTATCAGAAGCATGTAGGGGGTTTTCAATCCTGAGACTGAGGTTACAGTCAATCCACCCCAAGCCTCTCTCTAACCTCTCAAGTCCTGTTTTGGTGAAGAGAAGGCCAGTGGGCTTCTGAACTGAAGGCAGGGCCAGAAGTGGGGATGGAGGGGAGAGAGTCCTATAAGGAGTAGCAAGTACCATGGTAGCCCACAATGGCTGCAGCCAATAGAGGAGAAAAAGATGAGGGACAATGGAGGAATCTAACACTGCTCTGTTTCCTGACTCCTTGGAGAAGCCAAACATAGAGCAGACTGGCCTGTGACACAAAAGAGAATGGATTCTCACAAGTATTCTAAGCTTTCCCATTAGCTCTTTGCAGTTCATTAGTGTCCTCTGGCAAGAGACTAAGATTCAGACATTTTAGGAATATAAGGATTTCTCAAAACCTAGACATTTTAAAGATACATCTTTTCCTCTCTTTTCTTTTTTTTTTGGTACCGGGGATCGAACTTGGGACCTTGTGCTTGCAAGGCAGGCAGTGGAACCACTGAGCTAAATCTCCGGCCCTTTTCCTCTCTTTTTAATAAGCTCAGAGTTTCTCTGGCTTCACATGTGATATGAATGTAAATGTATAAATCAATTTTAAAACAAGTTTATTGTTATTTGGAAGAAAATCCATTTTTAACTTTTTCTGTTCATTTTTTGTTTAGTTTTTCATTTTTTGAAACAAGGTCTCACAATGTAGCCCAGGCTGACCTCAGACTCACCATCCTCTTGCCTCAGCCTTCTGAGTGCTGAGATTACAGTCATGCACCACCACATCTTGCTAGTTTTAAATTCATGTTAACAGAGATGCTTTCAGAAAAAAAAAAGGTTTTGGAGGAGTACAGGGAGGCTTATGAGATAAGAAAGTGAAAGAACCCTAGCTATGAAGAAAATAATGTGTAGAAGCCAGAAAGTGATGGCACCAAAGATCTGAAGTTACTGGAGTCACTACAGAGCCAAGGGCCAAGGGGTAAAAGGCAGGACTTGAACTGACTGAATGTATTTCTCTCTTCTCCTAACATGTGACCTGGCAGCTCACTTGGCCACTGCATTGTCCAGCTGAGGTGACACTGGACACCCAGTATCTCAGCCAGGCATCAAGGGAGAGGGCCAAGACAAGCACAGATGGATCAAGAGACTCTGGGCTCCTGTCTAAAAATCATTTAAAGTGCATGCAATCTAAACATCAAAGCAATCACTCAATGACCTTAGTTTAAATTTTGGATCATCAAAGTAAAATCCAAAGGGAAGAGAAATTCTCTTCTGAGGCCTGTAGTAATGACCTTACAGTTATATTTTTATTTTGGTTTGGTTTGTTTTCTTCCAGTGCTTCAGGCTTTGAGAAGCTCTAGATGTCCAACCAAAGATAGAAATCTGAAAAACAAGTGGAAAATCTAAGTCCCCCAAAGCCTACTCAAATTTCAGTCAGTATTTCAAAACAGCAGCAGGTGACAAACACTTAACAGAAACTAGAAACCACCCACCTTGTGCTGCCTCACAAGGCACAGTTTTTCTCCTCAGACCCCTCCCTTCCCACCCCTCAGAGACATGATACCCATCTCTGTTACTTCAAAAATTGTTCTTTTAAAGGTTTCCTCTGAAATGTCATTTGTTATATGGTAAGGTGGAGACCCCTAGTGTCCCAAAATTATATTTCCTGTAAGACAAAATTATAAGAGTTGTTTATGGTGGCGAGTTTATTAAGAGGAAAGCTAACCCTCCTGGCTGAGTCTGATTCTAAACTGGCCAAACCCAGGGTGGGAAAAAAATAAGAGTCTCTTGTACTTTGTGTTCATTATGCGCCTGTTCAACCATCTCAGGAATTCAAATTGCTATGTCACGGTGAATATTTGACTCTGCCACAGGTTTATTCCCCAAATAGTCTACAAACTCAACCAATTCTTTTTCAAAAGACAAAATAATTCTCATCAACAGCTCCATCCATAATTTGGTCCCATGAATCCCAGAATACCTGAAACCGTACAGTTCCAGGAGTCTAAGCATCAGTAACCAAATTACAACCATGGGGGTAGAGTGTTATTTGTCACCTCTCCCCAAGGGAGACATCAGAGTGGTCTCTTGGCTTTACTTTCTTTTCTTTTTAAAAAATTCTTTTATTAGTACATTTTAGGTATACAATACGTTTACATTTATCATTGGGTGCTTGTACCTGTACATGATGTATCTTGGTTCTTATATTTTTGGCCATAACCTGTGCCTGCTTCACCCCCTCCACCCTTCCCTACTTACATAGATTTTGTTTCCATTTTTTTCTTTTCTCATAATTTTTCCTTTCCCTTCTTTCCTTTCCCCTTCCCCTCCCACCACCCTACACCTTTGGACCTTTTAATATTTCAAATTATCGATTATTTATTTTGATCATTTTAATACTTATTTACACTTTCAGTTTCTCACACTAGAGAAATTATTTGGTATTTACACATGTGTGTCCTGTTTATTTCACTTAAGAGTATGGACTCAATATGCATCCATTTAGCTATAAATGTCTCTAGTTTCTAGTTCTTTATGGCTGAGTAGTACTCCATTTTATTAAAAAACCACATCTTCTTTATCCAGTTTCCAGTTGATGGGCACTTGGGCTGTTTCTAAGCTCTAGCTATTACAAACTGTGCCACTATAAACATGGGTGCACCTATATCGCTGTGGTATAATTCTCTTAATTCTTTGAGGAAGATACCCAGCAGGGGAATAGCTGGGTCAAATGGGACTTCTAGCCCTAGTTCTTTACATTCTTGATCTAAACTAGAAACTTCTTAACATAGGGCTCATGAATGAGTTGAAATTTTCTTTATCTTTCAAGTGTACGTATACCTGTGTATTCCTTCAGTTTAAGATTATCTCTTCAAGATTATGTAAAGGTGCATATTTTCCAATGATGAATGTCATTATATTGTATACCTAAAATGTACCAATGGTTAGAATGAATAATTGATAATGCAAAATAGGAAGAAAAGGTCCAAAGGGGTAGGGGTAGTGGGAGGGGCAGGGGAAAGGAAAGAAGGGAAAGGAAAAGTGCTGAGAAATGGAAAAAATGGAAATAAAGTCTTTGTAAATAGGGAAGGGTGGAGGGGGTGAAGGGAGGGCTAGGAATGGGGAAAAAATAAGAACCAAGATGCATTATGTAAAGGTACAATTCCCAATGAGAAATGTAATTGTGTTGTATACCTAAAATGTACCAATAAAAGAATTTAATGGAAAAAAAAAAAGATTATCTCTTCATCACTAGATTTAAGAAATTTGATTATGATTTGCCTTGATGTAGTCTTCTTCATATTTCTTGTGCTTGGAGTGCACTGAGCTTATTGGATCAATATGCTTGAAGTTTTCATCATACTTGGAAAATTGGGAGCCATTATTTCTCAAAATATATTGTCTGTCTTCCCCCTTCCTTTGTTCCTCCAATTGTAATTTTTGTTTGCCCACTTGAAGTTATTTTATAGTTCACATATGTTTTGGGGTTTTTCTTTTTATTTCTTCTTTTATTTTTTATCTCAAGAATTTGTCTTGGAGAATTTCTGTCACTATGTCTTCAGGTATACAAATCTATTTTTCTGCAACATCTAATCTGCTATTAATCTCAAACCAGTCTATTGGTCATCTGAGACACTGTAGTTTCCATTTCTAGAAGTTCAATTTTTTTCTGGTACCTGGAATCAAACTCAGGACCTTGAGCTTGTCAAGCAGGTGCAGCACCACTGAGCTAGATCCCTGGCCCAAGAAGTTCAATTTTTAAAACATCTTTCACGTCTATATTTAACATGTCCAATCTTTCTTCTAGCTTTTTGAACTTATGGAATGCAGTTATAGTAATACATTTAACATCCTTGTCTATTAATTTTATTGTTTGTCATTCTGAGGTCAGTTTGATTTAGTTTTCCTCCTCATTAGAGGATTCATTTTTCTCTTTCTTTGTAAGCATGCTAATTTTTTCTTGGATATTAGAGACTGTGAATGTTTCTTTGTTAGGCAGTGGACAAATTTTTCTTTGTTAGGTACATTTTGTATTCTTAAAAATATTTTTGAGCTTTGTTCTAAGATGGGTAAAGTTGCTTGAAAACTGTTGTATCCTTTCAGATCTTATTTTAAGATTCACTCGACACAACCAGAAAAATGTTTGGTCTATGGTGGTTTAGTTCCCACTTAGGATCCTCTGCAGACCTCAGAAATTCTCCCCTTGTGGTGGTTCAGCTTCACTGTGTTAACTTGATTGGCTTGAGATCTGCCAAGGGGATTAGTAAAGCTCACATCTGGGTGGGTCATGAAGGTGTGACTGTAGGTAGTATTTCTGATCCCTGATCCTTTTCCTCTCTGGCCCTGTTCTTCTGCTGTTTCCTGGTTGCCATGAAATAAGCAGCCTTGCTCCATCATGGCTTTCCACTATGATGTTTCTGCCTTGGGACTGTCCAACCATAGACTGAATCCTCTGTAACTGTGAGCTAAATAAACCATTTAAAAAATTTTTTCTTCCTTTAAGTTTTAGGTGTCAGATATTTGGCCCCAGCAATGAGAAAGCTAATACATACCCTCTTCTTTTTGGTCTTTTCCTGTGCATCTAGATGTTTTGGATTCTCTGGACCCCTTTTGCCATCTACTCCCCTCAGGGAGACTTCTGAGTCTCCATTCACCATTACCCCGAAACATTCTCCAGGTAATAAATTGATCCAATAGTAGGGCTCCTCTTCTCATTTGTTTCTCATCACTCAGGAATCACCAAGACCCTTTCTGACCTGGTATCCAAATTATTGAGAGTTGTGTCATTAATTTTGTGGTTTTTGGTTGTTACTCCATCTTAGATAGCCATGGAAGGTTCATATATTTTAATTTATTAATTTTTATTATAGATTTGTACTTCCCAACCTGTGGAGAGGTCATAATGTCATAGTTTCCCTGTCTATATCTACCTGAGAATTTAAAAAATATTTATGTTAAAGAACAGATTGTTGCAAAAGGTCCTAAGGATTGCAAGAAAGGTGATTTTCTTATTGGTACCAGTGTTATGAAGATTTAATATTTCTGCATCATTTCATTTGGTTTTTTAAAGTAAGCCTAACCTTTATTAAGGTGCAGCAACACAGAGAAAATTACAACCTATGTACAGAAAACTAGGATATATAAATATTCTCATTGTTATAAACAGCACATGTGAGCCCACTCGGGATAGGCTTTGTGACAAAAAAAAATTATTCCAGTGGACAGAGACTGAAATTGAGGGCAGATTTCAGGAGCTAGCTGCTTTCTTACATCCATGTGTGGATGGGCTAACACTGAGAGAAAAATATCAGCAGCTAGAGATTTTATCCATGGGTGGATGGGCTAACATCAAGAGACAAATATTAGCACATAGCTGGGAAGAGGAATAGGTTTATATAGGTATTAAAGGGGTTAAGGAATCTGGGGTGAAATGCTTATGATTGAGGGTCCGAGGATGGTCAGCACAGGTATGCAGGCAATCATTGGTCTTCTGGCACCAGGGAGATTGTATATTCCATCTTAAATTTTTTTTATGGCTGTCTGTCTTGTTTACTGGGAACAGCTTGTTGTTTGCTGGGAGTGGCCTATTTACTTTGTGAAGGTCTCATTCAGGCCAGGCCTGACACTCATGAATAATTAGAGAAGACAGTAACCAGCTTAGGAATTCAGACAATACCAGTCTGTGCTTAGATGCCTGTTAAGGGATCAATAGCACAAGTCACTATTAACTCATTTTCACTATAGCAGTGCTAAGAGTTTGCTGATCAGAAAACTCTGAATTAAGAAATCAGGAATTTAAAAAATAATCTTTGTTTTATATTATTTATCCATACATGTCTGACTATTACCTATTATGATCTATTGATCTATCTATTCTGTGATGTTTCTCAAGAACAAATGACATTTGGGAAAAAATCTTGATTTACTTTACAACTTACTGTAAGACATTTTGCTTCCCTGACCACCAAGAACTAAATACTAATAATGCCCAAAGCCATCTTGAAAGCCAGAATGTCCATAAACATTTCCAATCACCACTGCCACTTAAAGCCGTGGGTTGTGAAAGTCTGGGGTCAACTTTGGCAGCTGCTGACCTCAAAATAAAGCTCCACACTTTGCCTTAAATTTTCTTTCAACAAGGCAGCAGTCACTGAGGTAAAGGGTATTTCTTCTCAGCTTTATTCAGCCGCTGGTAAAGAGTTCCCAACAGAAATCAGCTGTGATCTCCAGCATTTGCAATTCAAATTTAGGGGTTTTGTTTATCTAATTTAAGGATTTACATCACTTTAAAAGCACATATCCTAAAAAAAAAAAAAAAAAAAGCACATATCCTATCAAAGAAGTAACCCTTGCAATGATCCCATGAGTGTTCCTTGTTTCCCTGAAAATAAGACCTACCAGGAAAGCAAGTTCTAACATGATTTTAGAGAGACATCCATGAAAATGAGAAAATCATACTAGAACTTGTTTTTCGGTTTTTTTTTTGTTTTTTTTGTACCAGGGATTGAACTCAGGACCTTACACT